CAAGATATGGAAAACATACAGAAAGAAATAGTGACAGAAAACTTCCCCCACCTGGTGAAAGAATTAGACTTACAAGTCCAGGAAGCGTACAGAACTCCAAACAAAAGAAATCCAATGAGGACCACACCAAGACACATCATAATTAAAATTCCAAGAGCAAAAGACAAAGAATATTAAAAGCAGCAAGAGCAAAGAAGGGAGTTACCTATAAAGGAGCACCTATACGATTGTCAGCTGACTTCTCAACAGAAACCATGCAGGCCAGACGGGAATGGCAAGAAATATTCAAAGTGATGAATAGTAAGAATCTACAGCCAAAGATAATCTATCCAGCAAAGCTATCACTCAGAATCGAAGGTCAGATAAAGAGCTTCACTAATAAAAAAAAGCTAAAGGAGTTCATCAACACCAAACCAGAATTATATGAATTGCTGAAGGGGGTTTGAGTATCCATTAAGGGCATGTAACTGGATTGTGGGCTCACTCCCTGCCCCGCCAGTTAGGGCACGTGTAGGAGGAAAATATGTCTCTCTTCCTCTTCCTCTGTCTCTCCTCCCCACTTCCATTTTCCCTTTGAAAATCAGTGGGAAAAATATCCTCAGATGAGGATTAACAACAGCAAAAAGCAGCTGATTGTCCTTTTTTTTTTTTTTTTTAAATCTTCATCTGAGGATATTTTTTCCACTGACTTTTTGAGAGTGGAAGGGAGGGAGGAGGGGGAGAGAGAGAACAATGATGTGAGAGGGACAAATCAATTAGTGACCTCCCCTTCGCACCCCAACTAGGGCGATGATCAAACCTGCAACTGAGATATGTGTTCTTGACTAGGAATTGAACCCATGACCTTTTGGTCTTTGGGCCTAAAAGCTAACCAGTGAGCTAAACAGACCAGAGCAGCTTTTATCTTTTAAACCACTGTAACTTCAATAAAACACAAAAAAGAAAAAACACACTGTAACCTCTGAACATGGAACTGCCACCATAGCAGTTGCTCAATAAATATTGGTGCATGAATGGAATATGTCCATAGTTTCAAGGTTTAAAATACTCAGGTCTTTCTTTTCTGCTCTAGGCCCGAGTGGCTGCATTCGAAATGGGCAAGTTTATGAAACCCGGGAAGGTGGTGCTGGTCCTGGCCGGATGCTACTCTGGATGCAAAGCCATCATCATAAAGAACACTGACAATGGCACCTCGGACCTACAGCCATGCTCTGGGGTCTGGAATGGACCATTACACCGAAAAGTGACAGTTGCCATGGGCAAAAAGAAAATTGCCAAGAGATCAAAGAACAAGTCTTTTGTGAAAGTTTATAACTACAATCACCTCATGCCCACAAGGTACTCTGTGGACAACCCCTCGGACAAAACTGTTGTCAACAAGGACGTTTTCAGAGACCCTCCTCTAAAACGCAAGGCCCAACGGGAGGCCAAAGTCAAGCTTGAAGAGAGGAACAAGACTGGCAAGAACAAGTGATTCTTCCAGAAGCTGCGGTTTTAGATATTTTTTGTTTCTGTCATTAAAAATCCATAAAAATAATACAAAATAAATAAATATTCAGGACACCTAATCCAGAGTTACATGTATAGAAAATCTCTGTGACCTTGCAAAAAGGATTAGCCCCCTATAAATCCATGTGTGTGGTTGTGGTGAGAATGGTAGTTCCTCCAGTTCAGTTTGAAGCCTCAGTGAACTCAGTCTGGAATTTTAAAAGTAATTTAACTAAATATGGTAATCAAATCAGATGTTTATAAATACTACAGGGCATATTTGGCCTCTGTGGGTGAAAACCCTGATTCAAACCTGATTATGTGCCTTTACCACTCAAGCTGAACTATTTGCTACCAAATCTGACAGCCTAAAGCAAAACAACACTATTTTAACCCAGGTCAGAGAAGCCTGTTTACAGTCAACATGATCATATTTTCTCCTAAGAATTTCAACAAGAGAAACAGGCAATCCCTTAAGGACATTTAACTCCACCCCAAAGGCAGAAAAACCTGACCTTTAAAAAAATACTTTCGCGGAAACCGGTTTGGCTCAGTGGATAGAGCGAAAGCCTGCAGACTGAAAAGTCCCAAGTTAAATTTTGGTCAAGGGCATGTACCTTGGTTGCGGGCACATGCCCAGTGGGGGGTGTGCAAGAGGCAGCTGATCTATGATTCTCTCCCATAGATGTTTCTAACTCTCTATCTCTCTCTCTCTTCCTCTCTGTAAAAAAAAAAAATCAATAAAATATTTTTAAAAAATTATACAAGAATGCCGGGACCGGTTTGGCTCAATGGATAGAGCGTCAGCTTGGGGACTGAAAGGTCCCGGGTTCGATTCCGGTCAAGGGCATGTACCTTGGTTGCGGGCATATCCCCAGTAGGGGGTGTGCAAGAGGCAGCTGATCGATGACTCTCTCATCGATGTTTCTAACTCTCTATCTCTCTCCCTTCCTCTCTGTACAAAATCAATAAAATATATTTTTTTAAAAAAATTATACAAGAAAATATATTTTAAAAAATACTTTCTTCTTCCAGCTAACCCAGTAATTTAATTTTTGGCAGTCAGATAGATTCCTTTGAAAATCTGATGAAATAAAGGACCATACTCCCCAGACAAAAAAAACAAATATATACAAGTACTTTTTTTTTAAAGACTTTTAATTAATTTTGAGAGAGAGGAAGGGAAAGGGAGAAAAACACCAGAGGAGATCAAGCATGCAACCTGGGCACGTGCCCAGATCAGGAATGGAACTGGCAACCTTTCAGTTCATGGGGTGACGCCCAACCAATGGGCAACACTGGCCAGAGCAATATACAAGTATTTTATACAATGGGGAGGTAGTAAGGGAACCTAGAGTTTATTAAGCACTACTATGTGCTTAATTTTTGGCCTATTCACAGCTGAAAATACAGGAAACAAAACACACTGCCCTCCAGGAGCTTATATGTGCCAGAGGCAGGCAGATTTCTTCATTCTTTCAATTTTACAGAAAGAAAAAATGATTTTGACCTATATTCCAAGGAAATAAACTGCTTTACCTTTATATTTTTCCTATGAAAGCCTTAATCTTCAGTACATTATAACAAGGTAGGGAAGATAAAGGAACAAGAGTAAAAAGAGAATCAGTACTATTGATTGGACTTCCTAAAGTATCTGGAGGGCACTGTACTTTTCCACTGTACCAAGTTTACCTACAATAAAAATTAAAGCAGCAGTGATAAATGTTCAGAAAGGTCACTTTCCTATAAGAATATTGAAAGATTTCTTGAAATTCTCCACAGATGCTATTTTTGTCACCCCTTTTTATGTAGTGATTAGCACAAGAACCACTAAAATGAAGAAATAATTCACTCTTCTTAGTGCATTTGTTAAAAATAAAATGCAAAGGTATTTTCAAGGAAATGGAAAAATCAAAGAAAAAGACATCTTATTGCTCATCTAAGAATATTTATAAGCCAGTGAGTAAGATTTAGTCAGGGAATTTTCCTACTACTTCAAAAAGAAGTAGTCTTAGTTCTCTAAATTATGCAGAGATTAAATTGCAGCCTTAAGCTTCCTTTTCTGAAAAAACCTATTGGCAATATGATTCTTAAATGCAAGGACCCTAATTTCAGAGGATCTATTGGCAGGACAAATGGAAGTCATTTTTTCTCTCTCATGTTATAGGCCTTTAGACACAATATTCTCCTGAGAGACTTTCATACTCCTTACTGCCTACAAACTTGAAGGTATGGCTCATTAAAATAACAACAACACTAAACCCTAGACATTTTGATTAAGCGGATAGAGCATTGGCCAGTGGACTGAAGGGTCCTGGGTTCGATTCTGATCAAGGGCACATGCCCAGATTGTGAGGTTGATTCCCAGTATTGGGAGGGGGTAGTGTGCAGGAGGCAGCCAATCAATGATTCTTTCTCATCATTGATGTTTCTATCTCCCTCTTCCTCTGAAATCAATAAAAATATATTTAAAGTTAATTAATAAAACACTAAAGCTTTGGGGTGAGGGGCGTGGGTGGAGGTAGAAGAGGGCATAGAGGGGATAAATTATGATGGAAAAAATTAGTTTCCCACTTGCAAAACTAACGTACATTCAAACAATGTTTCCCATAAAACCTTGACTCATCTGCTTTATGCCAAACACTGTTTAGGTGCTGGGGCTCATATATATATATATATATATATATTTTTTTTTTCCCCTTAAGAGTTCTGCATTTGACAATTTAAAAACATATATTTCTATTTATTTCAGAGAGGAAAAGATAGAAACATCAGTGATCAGAGAGAATCATTGGTCAGCTGCCTCCTGCATACTCCACACTGGAGATAAGAGTCCGTAACCCGGGCATGTTCCCTTAACTGGAATCAAACCAGGGACCCTTCAGTCAGCAGGCCAATACTCTTATCCACTGAGCCAAATCAGCCAGGGTTTGACAAACATTGATGTGCAGACTGATGGGAGATCAACCATACAATTCACTGTGACAGGAGACTCCTCCAAAATGAAAATTAACAGTTCATTAAAAAATAATAATAAAAAAAAGAAAATTAACAGTTCATGAAAATGAATGACCTCAAAAAGTGGAAGCAAGTCTCTCCCCTCAGCACTTTGTTTCCGCGTATTGTAAACCCTTCTTCCATCAGAGTTAAAAACCAAGTGAAAAGGTATTTTCAACCCTTGCATTTAATTTGCATTTCAACCCTTGTTTTCAACTCTCTGCACTATCAAGCACAGCAGATACGATGGTCAAATAGGGAGAGACGAAGCAAGACCCAAAGAGCATTCGAGAAGGCGGCCCGCAATATTCAAGCAGAAGTCACGAGTTCCGAGCTTATTCCCGGATTAGCCAGATTCCCTCCCGCAGACACACCACCAGGACACCGGATCTTGGGGCAAAAGACCTTCCTTCGGCTTCTGGGCTGACAAGGCCGCGCCTTCCCAGAGCCGGGATCCAGACCGTCACCCCGGGACCGGCTCCGCAACTTCGCGAGGCCCAGTCCCAGCCCCTCACCTGCTTTTGCACGTCAGCATCACTGAGGGCCATAGTGAAAGCGATGCCAGGCCGGTGGGCAGCTAGCTCGAGCTTAGGCCTGAAGGAGCTAGATGGTGAAGAAGAGGGAAAAGAAAAGCCAGCGCAGGTTCCTTTTCCCTTTGTTTTATAATCCCAGGTTCCGGTTCCTGTCAAGTGACCGCGCAGCCTAGACACGTGAGCCTCCTCAGCCAGTAGGAAAAGAGCAGGCCTCCGAAAGTCCCACCCGCCCCCTCATAGCTAAGCACTTGACCGGGGCGTGGCCTCTCCCCTTAACGTTTGCCATTAATTTTCCCCTGCTGTTTTCCTCAACAGCTTTCATATTAATAAAAGAGGTAAGATCAGGAATTCTGGCATCTGAAATTAGTGAAGCTGAGTGAATTTCTCCAGCCTTACAGCCCTTGCAGTTTTTTTTTTTTTTAAAGTTTAAATATTTTGCCCTTGCCGAAACTGGTTTGGCTCAGTGGGTAGAACGTCTGCCTGTGGACTGAAAGGTCCCAGGTTCGATTCCAATCAAGGGCATGTACCTTGGTTGTGGGCACATCCCCAGTAGGGGGTGTGCAAGTGGCAGCTGATAGATGTTTCTCTCTCATCGATGTTTCTATAATAACTCTCTATCCTTCTCTCTTCCTCTCTGTAAAATATAAATAAAATATTTTTTTTTTAAATATATATATATATTGCCCTAGCCGGTTTTGCTCAGTGCATAGAGCATCCTTCTGTGGACTGAAAGGCCCCCTGTTTGATTCTGGTCAAGGGCACATGCCTGGGTTGCCAGCTCCATCCCCAGTGGGGGGCATGCAGGAAGCGGCCTATCATTTATTATCTCTCATCATTGATGTTTCCATCTCTTCCTCTCCCTTCCTCTCTGAAATAAAAAAATATATTTAAAAAATTATTTAAAGTTCTTTTTTTTAACATTTTGTTGATTTTTTACAGAGAGGAAGGGAGAGGGATAGAGAGTTAGAAACATCAATGAGAAACATGGGTCAACTGCCTCCTGCACGCCCCACACTGGGGACGTGCCGCAACTAAGGTACATGCCCTTGACTGGAATCAAACCTGGAACCTTTCAGTCCGCAGGCTGACGCTCTATCCACTGAGCCAAACCGGTTTGGGCTAAATATTATTTACAGGGAACTCATACAACTTAACAAAAGGAAGATAAATAACCCAATCAAAAAATGGACAACAGCCCTAAATAGATACTTTTTGAAAGAAGACATAAGGAAGGCAACAGACATGAAAACATGCTCAAAGTTACTAATTATCCAAGAGATGCAAATCAAAACGACAATGTGGTACCATCTCACACCAGTCAGAATGGCTATCAGCAACAAATCAACAAACAAGTGTTGCGGAGGATGAAAAAAAGGATCCCTCATGCACTGCTGTTGGGAATGCAGACTGTTGAAGCCACTATGGAGAACAGTATGGAGTTTCCTCAAAAAACTGAAAATGGAACTTCCATTTGACCCAGAGATCCCACTTCTAGGAATATATCCCAAGAAACTAGAAACACCAATCAGAAAGGATATATGCACCCCTATGTTCATTAACCAATATTGGTATATTAACTAATGTCAATAATTTATTTGGATTTCCTTAGTTTTAATCCAATGCTCTTTTCTGTTCCAAGATGCTACATTTTGTTTAGTTATGTCTCTTAAGTTTCCTTTTTACTGTGACAATTTCTCAACCTTTTCTTGTATTTAATGACCTTGGAAGTTTTGAGGGTACTAATTAGGTAAATTATAGGATGCATCTCTACTGGAAATTTTCTCATGATTGATTGTGAGTTACAGGTTTTCGGTAGGAAAATCACAGATGTAAAATGCCATTTTTATCATGTCATATCAAAGATTCATGCTGTTAATATTTTTTATGACTTTCTTTTCTTTTTTGTTAATTCTCACCCAAGGACATTTTTTCTATTGATTTTCTAGAGAGTGGAAGGGAGGGAGAAATAGAGGGGGAAAAAGAGAGATACATGGATTGGTTGCCTCCCGCATGGCTAGTACCCATGGCAGTGGCCAGGGATTGAACTGCAACCAAGGTAACTGTCCTTGCCTAGGAATCAAACCCAAGACCCAAGATGAAACTTAAGATAATTGCCCAATTATAGGCTAATTTAAATGTTCGTGGGCCAATGATACCAACCACTGAACAACACCAGCCAGGGCTCCACATCATTTTTTACTGTTGGTGTTGACCTTGATGGCCTGGCTGATGTAGTTTTTGTCTGGTTTCTCCACTGTAAAGTTACACATAAACTCTTTACTGTACTCTTTAGAAGGAAGTACTAAAGCGTGAGGAGTGATGCTCCACATCCTTTAGGGTGGAGTATCAACATAGTTTATTTCAAATTCTTCTGAATGGCTTTATGTCTTTTTTAACACTATTCCCAAAAACTACTTAGAGGGACTTATTCAGAAAATTAGGGCAGAAATTTCTCCAGTCTTGTTTGCTTCAAACTCCCATCCTTCTCCTACAGCTACAGAAGCAATGACTTAAAAAAAAGTTATTTTTAGGATAGACTCCTAGTATAGACTTATCATTTAAAGGGCTCATACATTCTTTTTTTTAAAAAATCCTCACTGATTATATTTTTTTTGTGTGTGTATATGTGTGTGTGTGTGTGAGAGAGAGAGAGAGAGAGAGAGAGAGAGAGAGAGAGAGAGAGAGAGAGAGAAGAGAGAGAGAAACATTAATCTATTGCCTCCTGCAACCATGCTCCAACTAGCAAGCGAACCCGCAACCTGGGTAAGTGTATGTGCCCTGTCTGGAAATAGAATCCAACACCTTTTGGTGTACGGGACAACACTTCAACCAAGTCATACCTGCCAGGGCGCGCACACATTTTTAAAAAATATGTTTTTATTAATCTTTTTTAGAGAGAGAGAAAGGGAGAGGGAGAGAGATAAAAACACTAATGATAAAGAAACATTAACATCAATTGTCTACCTCCTGCTGGGAATCGAGCCGAAACCACGGCATGGACCCTATCCGGGAATCAAACCGGTGACCTCTGGGAGCATGGGCCAATGCTCAACCACTAAGACTCACTGGCCAGGGGCCCACACACAATTTAACTTTTTATTTTGAAGAAACTTTAAATACAGTAAGTTGTAACAATAGTACACCTAGATCTACCAATTGTAAACATTTTTTCTATATTTGCCTTATCACTTTTCATACACAGACAGTCCTCAACTTACAATAGCTAGACTTAATATTTTTTATTTTATTTTATTTTACTATAATGGGAAAGCAATATGCTTTCAGTAGAAACTGTTCTTCAGATTTTGAATTTTAATCTTTTCCCAGGCTAGTGATATGCAATACAATGCTGGTGGAAAATGTCCAGTATGAGACCTGAGAAATCATTTGGTCTGACCCTACCGAGACAGTAGGGTTGAGTTAATTAAATGTTTGACCAAATATAGCCAGCACTGGTTTGGTTCAGTGGATAGAGCGTCAGCCTGCGGACTGAAGGATCCCAGGTTCGATTCCAGTCAAGGGCATGTACCTTGGTTGCGGGCATATCCCCAGTAGAGGGTGTGCAAGAGGCAGCTGGTCGATGACTCTCTCTCATCGATGTTTCTAACTCTCTCTCTCCCTTCCTCTCTGTACAAAATCAATAAAATATACTTTAAAAAATAATAAATAAAATAAATGTTTGACCAAATATAATAGGCTAATTTTTAAGTTGATAATTTTATATGGCCCACAAATCTTATACAATAAAAGCCCAGAGACTGAATGGCAGAATAACCAGTCACTATGAAGCACACTGACCAACCGAGGGGCAGATGCTCAACACAGGAGCTGCCCTCTGATGGTCAGTGCACTCGCACAGTGGGAGCGCTGCTTGGCTGACTGGGATGAGCAGTGACACCAAAGCAGGCAATCCCTGCTGGTCACGCCCTCCATCGGTGCACAAATCCCATGCACTGGACCTTTAGTGATGTTATAAATATCCAAACAGCCCTTGGCAAAAAATTCCCCACCCCTGGGTAAGAACAACCCTTTAACCAAACTATCTAGCCAAGTCCTAATAATGACATTTTTGAAGAGCACAAAACATTTGAAGAGGCCAGTTCTAGAAAATCCCTCAAGCCCTGGTTGGTTTGGCTCAGTGGATAGAGCCTTAGCCTGTGGACTGAAGGATCCATGTTTGATTCCTGGTCAGGACACAAGATCAGATTGTGGGCTCAGTACCCAGCAGGGAGCAGCCATGATTCTCTCTCATCATTGATGTTTCTATCTCTTCCTCTCTGAAATCAATAAAAATATTTTTTTAAAGAAAAAAAATCTCTCAATTTGTTTTTTTTTTCTGACCATTTTCTTATAATTAGATTCAAGTTGTGCATTACAGAAAACTACATGTGCAGTGTGTCCTCAGTGAAGCACCTGTTGATTTGTCCTTTTGATAGTTATGGTATACATTTAAAAAATATTTTTATTGATTTCAGAGAGGAAGTAAGAAAGAGATAGAAACATCAATGATGAGAGAGAATCATCGATTGGCTGTCTCCTGCATGCCCCTCACTAAGGATTGAGGCAACAACCTGAGCTGTGCCTTAACCTGGAATTCAACTGTGACCTCCTAATTCATAGGTTGATGCTCAACCATTGAGCCACACTGGCCAGGCAACGGTCCACATGTTTAAAGCTAACAAATTGTTTTCCAGCTCTACTAGAATATAATATATTTTTAAAAATATATATTTTATTGATTTTTTTTTTTTACAGAGAGGAAGGGAGAAGGATAGAAAGCTAGAAACATCAATGAGAGAGAAACATTGATCAGCTACCTCCTGCACACACCCCCACTGGGGATATGCCCACAACCAAGGTACATGCCCTTGACTGGAATCGAACCTGGTACCTTTCAGTCCTCAGGTTGATGCTCTATCCACTGAGCCAAACCGGTTTTGGCTCTTTTTTCTTTTAATATATTTTTATTGATTTCAGAGAGGTCAAGATAGAAACATCATTGATGAGAGTCATTA